TTCGGCTTGGGCTTCGTCTGTTTCGAGCAGCGTCGTTTGTGAGGACACTAATAGCTTTTTTTGGGTCCCGGTGCCTCTGCTCGAAGTATTATTGATATGCTAAAAAAATCAGCTCATTTATTGTCAATCAAACATATTCAATTAAAAGTTAGTCAAATTATATTAAAAGAAATTATCATATTGCATGTAATTCCAAAAGCTGTCGTTTCTAATAGAGATGGAAGATTCATATCCAGGTTATAGAAAGACATTCAACATGGCTTAGATACACATGTGCATCTTAGAACAACATTTCATCCACAAACCAATGGAATCAGAAAAGATAAATTAGGTATTTGAAGATTTGTTGAGGTCATGTCCTTGATTTTAGAAGCAAATGGGAAGATCACATCCTGAAGGTCGAATTCACCTACAAAAATAGCTATCAATCCAGTATCAAAATAGCTACTTATGAAGTATTCTATGAAAGGAAATGCAGAAATCAATTAAGTTGGGTTGAAGTGGGTGAATGTTAAATGTTAGGCCCTAAGTTTGTTGATAAAGCCGCAGAGAAAACCAAATTAATCTGAGAAAAATTGAAGATTGCATGTGACCGACAACATAAATATTATCACCCAAAGAACAAATTAGATGAATTTAAAGTTTGCGATTTTGTATTTTTAAAAGCCATCTCAATGAAAGGTACAGTCGGATTTAGTCTAGGAACCAAGTCGAGTCTCAGACATATCGGTCCTAAGAAGCTACTTGAGAAAAAAAGAATACAACAAAAATATATCTTCATGCTCAGATAGTTCAGAAATTTAGAGGACGGAATTTTATGAGGAGAGAGCTATAACACCAAATTTTGAGAAACTCAAACGGGTAAAGTTTTGAAAATTTTAAAATATAGCCCAAATTTCATGCCACTCAAAATTCGATCGAACTAATTTTACAAATTATGCATGTCGAATCGATCAATTTGATAGATAGCACTAGAACCAAGCATGAATTTTTAACGTATAAAAGGTATTAAGTATAAAAGGTATTAAATGATGAAGTTTAATTATCCTAAATTAATACCCTAATCTATATTATCTCTGTAGTAGCAGACGCTTGCATTGCGCTTAACTACACATGCGACGGTCTGATGGATTGACCAATTGGGTAATTAAGTGGAACCTACTTAAATCTAGCATTCCCCTTATTCCCTCTCCCGACACTTCGGATTCGCGAGTCTGGAGAGTTTTGTGACCCTGCACTATAGCTTAACAGGATTAAGTGCAAGCTGTTCGGCTAAGAGTCGAAACCCACAATTTGTGGTCTCTTTTATGATATTTCAGACATTCCTTTCCATCCTTACATTTCCATTTTGACATTTGCTACAAATTCGAGCATTCCACGTGTTCCCTATTGTTGTAGCTTTGTGGGAGCAGCAACGGATCTTCGAACCAAGAGCTAAGCTCTTTGGAAAGTCCATTTCAAGAGTTGAGAAAGGGTTGGGGAAAAGGAAGAAGAGGGAACCAAATAGAAAAGTATTGGTGAGACATATTTATGTCAAGGAGCCATTTTGAGATAAGTTAAAGCAAGAAAATCATATTTAGAATTAAATTAATATCTTAATTATGAATTTCATGAATGTTTAATGGATTATAAATTTCAGGTTGTTTGCGCTAGACGATGAGCTCAAGGTGAGCTTGGAGAAACTCATCGTCGGGTTGCTCCGTCAATTCTGGTGAAATAATTATATGTTAACTTAAGAAAATTAGCATAGTTCTCATGTGATTATGTATTTAACACTATTGCATCTAGAATTTCATGCATATTGTAAATGAATACCTGCAAAAATTGTATGAATGAAAACTTGATTTGCCATTTACGATGCCTATGATTTTATTATGTTATGAATGTAATGAACATGTTTATGAAATCATTGCTTACAGGTATTCAATTATAATGAATCATGCATATGACATTTGAAATGTCTATGAATAATGCTTGTTAAAAAAATTATGATTTAAAAAGTGTCATAAGTGATGTTATAAGTAATTTATTACATGAATACCTGCAAATACAGATGATAGAGAATGATGGGATTCCCGACTTTAGATATTCAGATATTCGGACAGAGAAGAAACTACAAGAAAGTTAGGATCAGATGGGGACAAAATGTAAGGAACTATTGATAACACGAGGCCATTGATAGCTTCTCTGTTGAGAGGGACTCAATCTTTATCAATAATTGATGTAGCCTTCAAACTGGGTGACAACTCATGACATGACATGAAAAAAATTGAGGCCTATACAATTACGAGAGACAATTTTATGATTAGACTGATGACTTTAAGATTATGTTTATGATTATACAAGAATCGATAAAATACATGTTTTATATAACAGTCATGATTCTCTACATTACATGCATTTTCTTTTACATGTTTTATATAATTATAGCATAATATGATATTTGTCGTTGACATGTACATGAGTTACATATGAACATGCACGTGGTTTCTTTTTAGTCTAGAAAATCTTATTTTATTCTTGAATATTTCGTTAAGTTTGTTATAGCTCACTCTACGTTATTGACTTCAAAAAAAGGTAAGAAGCACCGGGGTGAATATCAGGTGTGACATGTACCTTTTAAAGTTCATAGTTTTGGGAGATTGTACAAGTTTTTGGATACATATCGAGTATGCAATGAAATGTATTATGTTCTTTTACAGATATTTAGTTACTAATTCATAATTCAATGGGTCCTGATTCTACAAGTCAGGATGAATGTTAGTGAGAATTTAGTCTGATGAAGTCATCCTTTTCTATCGCACTGCAATTGACCTTAAGAAGGGAGGCTAAGTGAGTTGTGACATCAATAATCAATGCAGTGTAAAAGAAATTTTGAATTTCTCAATCTTACATTTTTCTCCACTAAAAAATCAAAAGTTTAATAAATGTTGAAGGAGCAATATATATATATTTATATAACCCAATCTCTAATACACATTTTTTTCTTGTCAACTCATGGGTCAGCAATAGGCCATCGACTATCTTGCAGTCACCTAACTCTGGACATCAACTTGGACGTCATTGGACTTGCCTCATCAAATAGCATGCTCTCCAAACTGTCAGAATTCAAAACCAGTCACACCCTCTAGCTCCATCACCGTCAAACTTGTCACGACCCGGATTAGAGATTGATATTAACCAAGATGGGAACAGAAGACTGAACGGTGAGTTACTTTTTTTCATATTTATTTTCAATAACTAATTATTGACAGATCAAAGAAACACTAATCAATTTAGACTAAAGCAGTAAAATTAAGTTTACCTCGTTACGTTCACGTCTTTTATGCACATTTTCTATTCTTTTGTTCATCTTTTATCAATTAAATTATCCTGAAAAAATAGTTTAAAAATAAGCATAAGCTAAATAAGTGAGTGAATACTCATACTTTTAAACTAAAGTAATACAAGTAAAAAGAAAATAATATACATGTTGGTTAAGCAAATAGTTTAAAAATAAGAGTAAGCTAAATAAGTGAGTGAATACTCATACTTTTAAACTAAAGTAATACAAGTAAAAAAATAATAATATACATGTTGGTTAAGCTTCTTGATAAATTAATATAAATAATTTACTGGTTATTCAATGAATCTTACTATATCAATATCATTTTATATAGGTACAACCGACACAGGAGCATCGTCTAAAGATTATATTAATCAACACATCAATATCAATATCATTTTTCATTTACATGCACGGGTACTTTAGTGTTCCTCCACTAATACCATAAAAGGTGACTCCGTCATACACAAACAAGCAATCAACATAAATATATTATTTATGTGTTCATCGCATTCAATTCAGCATACTATATAAAGCATACACCAATGCATGACAATAAATAACTATAAACATTCATACTAATATGATCGATAAAAAAAATAATATCTAAATCGGAATAAGGTATGTTTAAGTGTCATCAACTGTCAAATAGTTGAGAATAAATAAATTATTACTATAGATTAATAGTACGAGTACTCACATCGATTGCCGATTAATTTTCTATTTGATTTATATTAACATCAACTATTCTAAAATTGAAAACCTAATATAAACATGATAATCATTTTACTAAAAAATTAACTTAATTGATTATGTTACTGCAATTTAATATAATAACAACAACAAAGCCTTAATCCCACTATGTGGGGTCGGCTACATGAATCCTTTTTCTCCATTGCGCCCTATTTAGTGTCATATTTTCATTTAGTTCTAGTAAATTAAGATCATTTTTAATACAATAAGCCCAAGTCTTCCTAGGTCTACCTCTGCCTTTCTTAACACAAGTCGAATTTAAAACATCTACTCTCCTAATCGGATCATCTAATGGTCGACGTAAAAAATTGTTACTGCAATTTAATAATTTATAATATTTTAATAAGCTAAAAAATTTCATTGTTATATATATATATATATATAATATGTGTGTGTGTGTGTGTGTGTGTGTGTGTGTGTGTGTGCCCCACGTCCCGGCTCATTGATGCGGCCTCTGGCATAAATCCCTCGGGTTGGGGGATCAAATCCCGTGGCGCGGGCTCTTCGAATCAATAAAAGCGCACTTGAGTTTCGAACCAAATGGGGAAGCGTTATTTAGGACTCACCGAACCAAATATCGAAATAATCCAGAATTACTATTAATCCAGAATTGGGAAGGAATAAATTTCAAATAAAAAAAAATAACTCAAAACGTCAAAATAGCACCAAAGTTTGAAAGATGGATTAATTCTCATGAAAGGAAAAACAAAAAGTTCATTTCAGAGTTTCTTTAACTGCATTATAAAGTGATCCTGGGTTTTCTACGAATATTATGAATCAATATAGTCTTTGGAGTAAAAAAAAGAAAAATAAGATGATAAGTTCAGTAGTAAACAAATTAGGCAGTAATTACAATCAAGCATAAAGAACCAGCATAAATATTTAAATTTGCCAAAAGAAAAGTGAGGAAAATGCCACTAACATGAGTCCCATCATGGCCAGCTAATGGAGAATCATTAACACCGAATGTCATTGAAATCGTTGGCGGATCTAACTCAACAGTTGGCAATGCAGTCATCACCTAATGATTAATTTCAGAATTAATAATTAAGACAGGTAAGTAACCATGTAACCGTTATGAAGACAATGAAAAGTAAGAGATGCTTAAAAAACTCTTTGGGTTTTATGCCAGTTGGAAAGAAGAAAAATTTAAAAAGTAGGAAAAGAGAAATTAAAATATCACGTAACAAGCAATATATAAAAGTTTCAAATGTATTGCTCAGCCATAAATGATAATATTCAAATAGGCTACAGGACTTCCCAAAATATCAAGAAACTTATAACCAACTTTCAACAGCTGGTTAAACAAAGACCTTTTGGCCTAGAATGAAATGCAGATCATGAATGCTAAAGATGAAAACTATGACAGAGGATATTGAAAAGGAAATAGGTGTACTCGTGGACCTGCTGCGAGTGGGACCAGTTATAGTTTGGGGCATTTGCATACATAGCACTCAATTCCATGTATTTACAAATCTAACACCAGAACTTTACATTTTACATTTATACCACCTAAATATTTCATATCACATCAAAAATACCATTAAAAATTAAAATACATCTTTTCAAGCATAGGTAAGGCGGTTTGTAAGTGAAAATTGAAATTTTGGCTTAAATAGGTAAATACCAAGAATTGATATTTTCAAGCAGAAGTAAGGCAGTTTGTAAGTAACAATTGAAGTTTAGGCTTAAATATGTAAATACATAAGAATTGAGCCGTATGTAAGTAAATCTAGTTAATAAGATATCTTTTTCATATGACAGCTAAAAAGACTAACTTCAGTTCTTTACCAATTCATCATATGACATGATAAAAGCCCGTAAGTCCATGAATCCCAAGTTAAGCATAATGTGGCCTATTACAACCTATTATCCTACATTGGATAGTTGAACCTTACAATTTTAGAAAAAAAGAACATGAAGGAAGCATTAATCTACAATAACCCCCGTGGATTGGAGAGAGAGAGAGAGAGGGGGTGTTTTGGTCCACTCAAATACATGCATCAAGGGAGGAAGAGTCCATCTATCTATTTATAAAAATCAGGCCTCAGTGAAATGTTACTGTTTTTAAAAGTTTTATGATGTCATCATATGTAAATATACAGCTACATAGAAAAATCAAATTAACAAAATATCGTAGTGCAAGCAAACTCACTAATCCATCTCATATAATATGCATGCAAAGTGCATTATTAAATAAATCATACAGCCACAAAAAAAAGAAGAATATCTTTACCTCGGTGCTCGCCACTGTGTGACCAATTGACGGACTTGCAAGACCGGCAATTGAAATTATATCACCAGCCCAGGCACTGTCAATATTTACAACATTTGTGCCCTTCTTTTTCATAATTTTAGTTACCTGCAAGAATAGCATACAAAACAATTATTATATCACAACTTATGAGGTGACATGCTCATTAGCCATTATACCATTCAATTTTATAAAACGTAAAAGCATGAATTGCAGTGCTTATAAGGATATGGAATGCCAAGGATACAAGTCAGACCTAATACATTAATAAATAAGCATCCATCCATCCAAAAGCTTAAACTAATGGATAAGGCCAAAACTAAAATATTGAGAACTCAACTCGTGTATGTCAGATGTGTTACTGCTCTCCACTCTCAAGTGTGTCATATAGTTAGTCAGTTATTAAGGAAATATGACTTTAAATGACTTGCTATAGTATCAGTTAGCCAAATATCACCGTTGTTTCATTATTTAGAGAAATATGCCTAAAAATTTATTTCGAATCAAAATATCCCAGATATAATAAAATATAGGTCATAACCCTAGGATCAAAACATGTGAAATCTCGAATGAAATAATTACTTGAACATTTTTCTTCCCATCACCTTCTTTATCTTTGGTGATATCAAAGCTTGTAAAATCGGTATGCGGTAAAACTTCAAAGTAACACTCGACTTTCAAACCACCATCTGTTCAAGATTTCATATTTTGCCCATCCAAAAGTCAAAAGGGGAGGAGTTTTTTATTGTTTAGGCAAGGATTAGTTCGAGTAGATGTTAAAGATTAGTGATGGTATACTTTAGTTATTTAGATTTCAATGCATTCATCATCCGCAATTGTTGGTTGTAATAGAAAAGACTAGTGGAGAATCCAAAGTTCAAAAAACAAAAAGTACTAAATTAAAATAGAGTTTTCAAACCTTCTTTGCACTTTAAACCCTAAACCTCATTTGACATCATATTATCTATTACAACCATGTTTGAATCATATTCAAACTTTATATAGATCATATTCAAACTACACTCAAACTTATTTGAACCTTATTCAAATATTCCTTGAACCATATAAAAAGTTCAAAAAAGATTCCAGAATGATTAATTCAGGATTTAAAGTTGGATCAAGAAAATTCAAGTACAATTCAAACTTGATTCAAATAAGATACGAGTAAGATCAGACTAAGTTTCAAACATGTTTCAAATAAGTTTGAGTACAATAACAACAACAAATCTTTATCCCACTAAGTGGGGTCGACTACATGAATCCTTTTTCTCCATTGTGTCCTATTGATGCCATATTTTCATTTAATTCTAATATATTAAGATCATTTTTATACAACATACCCAAGTCTTTTTAGGTCTACCTCTACCTTTCAAATAAGTTTGAGTATGGTCCAAAAAAGTTTGAATATGATTTGAACACAATTCATGCTTGTTTATTTTGCTCACGTTATCTTATATGTAACTGATTTACTTGAAATGTCTTGCTATGCATACAAGTAATAACTATAATCATATCAAAAAACAGGCATTACATTGCCTGGATTATATACAGAACAAAAGGGTAAAAAATTATTAAACAGTTTAAGGCATTTGATCTTATAAGAGCTAAAAAATTCCCCTTAATGTAACTTTTCAAGGATCCTGAGTTGCAATTCTTAGGAGTAATAATTCATCAACTACTAATGAGAATGGTCGATGATGAGAAGAATTAAGGGATGCTGCCTAGTACTCAAGTTTGAACATAACATAAACTTTAGAGTCCTTGAATTTGTATCGACCATTGGGTTGGAATTTAGAGATTTTCAACTAAAGAGAAATTCAAAGTGATAAACAAAAGTACTAGGCCTATTGCTAACTTTTTATATTGGGATAATAATTTTAAAAATTCAAACTTGGAGAAAGCATTTACGTTGTGCCCTAAGAGGAATGACATATGAAGTTTAGGTTTATGTTATCTTATAGATGGTGCTCTACTCAACCATGATAATTACAATTTCATTTTTATCGAGATAATTTCCTTGATTAAAATAAAAAAATCATTCTCTTAAGACTTATGAAGCATACTATCGTGAGAGATAACTCCAAAATAATTAAATAAGAATATGGGACACTATAAAACCATCACCCTAAAAAAGAATATCCCAACCCAATAACCAAAACATAGTTACTGGATATGCCATACTACTTCAATGCTGAACTCATAAAGCCATCAATGGACAAAGCGGAAGAAAATGTACAAATTACCTTGAAGAGAGAGCACCCAATATGTAAAGTTTAAAAAACAACAAAAAGCACGGAGGAAAAAATTGTTCAACATTATTAAAGAATAAAAAGTTATAAGTTATACACAAAGTTTTGCATTTCAAGTGTTATTTTATGTTAATTATTATTAAAACTTGTCAATTTTTACTTTGAACTAATTTTTTTAGTTGACTATTAACTCTAGACAGGTGCAAAAAATTGATAAGAAGACATAATTTCAATTAGAACTGTTAAATAAGCGATCGCAAAAAAAATTGTAAATGAGTGTGATAGTCACATAGAGGAAAAAGAAGGAAAAAAAGCTGAAGAACAAACAGCTGCTGGAAAGTCCATGTCCTCCACCGATCAGTCGAAGTAGCGTATTGTTGCTAGCAAGTTAAAGAACAACCAACTAAAATCAAAGAATAATTAGCTGAGATTTGAACAAAAATTGGATGCTTTATGCAATTTAGTCGAGTATTGTACAAAGAGTGGCGAGTGGGGATGAGCAAAAAAGATGAAGTCCTTGCTGCTAAATGACCCATTCATGTGGAGATTTAAGATCAGGTAGATAAGAATGAGGATAGCATAGAAGCCCTTGCTACTAATTCTAACATTTATCCAAAGACAAATGCAGGAGGCAGATAATTTAGCCTATCACTTGCATATAGATGATGTGGTGAAAGGGGTACTAGTTAACTCATCTTTAGCTATTGTGCCAAGAGATGATATAAAAATATAATTTTTTAAGGAGAAAAAATAAAGAATAAGAAAATTTTGATTGAAGATTTCATGGATTCTTTGAGCAAGAGGCACAAGCCAATGAATCCATTGCAATTAATTTCCACTGTCTGATTGATGAAAAACAATGTCTTTCTTCAAAAGTTTGCTAGGCAAGATTGAAGATAACTCTAAAGAGAGGGAGATTGAAGCGAGAGATGGAAGCACAATGTGATTTCTACAATAAAATGCACTCATGGCATGACTAGATGGTAAGGTCAATATTCAATTAATCTTTTAATTCAATAATTTTTTACCATATAATTGTATTGTGTTTCCCAAAGCCAATTTAAAACTTTTTTAAACGCAAATAATTTATGTTAAAAATGAGGGGGCAGAAATGGCATTATTCAAAAACCTATGGATTAAGTACTGTTGTCTTAAATGAATTATTTGAATAATACCATAGAGCAATGATTTATATAAATAATTAGTTAAAGAGAAATGAATCTTTCAAGTGGCATGAAGTTATAGTTATATATGTTAGAAATGGAAAAAAGTTCTGAGGCATTAGGCTCAAATACAAATCTTAAATATTAGCCAATCAACTAAAACAAAATTTATTGTGTGTGTGTGTGCGCGCGCATGTGTGTGTGAGAGAGAGAGAGAGAGAGATTACAGTACCTTCAAAAAGCATGAGATTGAAGACTATCTGACACGGAATGTTTTGATCTTGATCTAGAAGCACGACGCAGGAGCATCAGTACTAGTGTTGTCCACATTATGTTCAAGCTCACTTTCTATGTTTTAGTTCTCTGTTTTTGTGTTTTTCTATTTGAATGACAAACTTGTAATAAGGGAGCCGTAGTATTTATAAATAGGAGTTGTTTTGTGTATAGTAGAGGGTTTTTTTTTTGCTTCATTTGAGATTTGTGAAGAGCTTTGCTCCCGTTTATGCTTCCCGAATGGGAACGATTCTGTACCCACAATGTTGAGTGGTGGCAATTATATCCCTCGGTTGTTAGTTGGGATATTCCAGGTCTCCTTCCTTCATCAATCATTCGGGTTATAATTTTTGTATCTCAATCAGTTTCGAGAATATTAAATTCTTGTAACTTGTATCTATTATTTTATTAGTGTCTCTTCGTTGAATTTCCTTTCCTATTTTCCTTGATTTCCATTTTTTTTATTTTCTATTCTTTACATTTTCTCTATATTTTCTTGTTGATTTCTCTTGTTTTTTTTTTTTTTGAATTTTGCACTTAACCATTTTGTCGCTATCATTTTGGTATTAGAGCTTTGGCTTCTTTATCATAATTCTCACCAAGATTGATTAACAAAAGTTTCCTAGCCTTTCTTTTGTTTGTTTTCCAGCAATTCTAGATTTTTGTTTGCAAATTCTAAAATTCTTGGGGTTACAGCATTTTTGTTTGCTGCAGTAGGAAAGAATTCCACTCCTGATTGTGCCCAATGCTGCGGTTCTTATTTTTTTTCATTGTTTTGAACTGTACGTGGTCTTCTGCTCCCTGCATTGTTTCTTTTTTCTTGCTGCCCTTCAAGAAAACAAAACATTTTTGCTTCATTTTCAACAATTTCTTTATCATTTACAATGTGACTGTTCAAGAAAATAGTTTCTTTTCACCTTCAAAAAAACATTTTCAACAATTTATTGTTGCCCTTCAGAAAAACAGAAAAATATTGGCATGGAATTTCAAAAAATTTCTTGTTGCGGTCTCTTCAACCAGTCAATGCTTAGAGCGAATAACTAGCACAGCAAGATTTAGCATGAAGGCTCTGTGATACCACTGTTTCTTGGAGACTAAGGAGTTTATAACTCAGGTTACTGAAATTTCATAACCAGTTTGAATCAAGAAAAAAATTTGGGTTCTTGCAGCCCCTTTATCATCCAGACAAGTTTCTATTGCCTGTTCGGAATTCAGGTGTCCAAAACCTGAAATTGATATAGGTTATGTTCATGTTCCAGAAAGCCACTAGGTGGTGATAATAGTGATGGAATATGTGATATAAAGAAAAACAAGAAACGATCAAAAGAGAATCCAACTCATCATACGTAGATAGAAATCAAGAGGGTCCTTATTGACAGTTGCTTGCAAGAGAAGTATTGCATATGGAATCACTTAAAAGAGATCAATTCAATGGAGATGAAGGAGCTCCTCCCACCCGAGGAGAATGTGACACGGAGTGTCGTAATCTTGATCCGGAAGAATGATGTGAAACCGTCGATACTAGTGTTGTCCACATTATATTGAAGTTTAGTTTTTATATTTTAGTTCTCTATATTTATGTATTTTTTCAATTTGGATGGCAAACATATAATAAGAGAAATCTTAGTGCTTATAAATAAATAATGTTCGTGTTTTTGTTCGTTTGAGTGTTGTGAGAGCCTTTGCTCCCTTTTGTGGTTCTCGGATGGGAACACGTCTATATCCACGACGTTAGTTGGTGGCAATTGTATCCCTTCGTTTTGGTGGTGACATTTCTGATGGGAACAAGTTTTTGTTCGTTTAAGTGTTGTGAGAGCCTTTGCTCCCTTTCGTGGTTCTCGGAAGGGAACAAGTCTGTATCCACAACGTTAGGTAGTGGCAATTGTATCCCTCCGTTGTTGGTGGTGACATCCCTGATCTCTTTCTTTTGTCGGTCCTTCAGGTGGTGATTTTTGTATCACGATTGGTTGTGAGAGTAGGAAACTCTCATATCTTGTATCGTTTATTTGATTAGTGTCTCTCCAATGTATTTAGTTCCTATTTTATGTTTTTTGCATTCTCTCTCTCTCTTTTTGTTGATTTTCTTATTTTCTTTATTATTTTCTTGTTGAATTCTGCAACCATATCCCTTCTATCGGTATTACTATGAACCCTCTAGCATTGTAACACGGACCTTATAGGCAACAACAAATTCATTTAACACGTGTCATGAATTGCTTGAGCCATAGTGTTATTAAACCATATGCGAAAACTTTATCCTAAAAATTGTCCCCGAAAGTAAAGAATCAAGAAATATGAGAATTTCAAGATTATGAAAAGTTGTTCAAAATTTTCAACAACATTTATGTAGCACTCATAAATCGATTGATGAGCACTTTATCTCATATTTGCAGTGAAGATTGTAGGATGCATCCAATAATACGAAGCATCTACCTAAATTTCAAAAAAGATCTTATGAAAGTTACACATGATTATATACCATTCTAAAAAATAGACCTTGTGTATATTTATTTTATAACAATGTAGATGCATCAGCAAATACAAAGAAAAAATTGAATTATTAAAATTGGTCCATAGCAAATGTGTACATTAAATTCCTTTTAACTATTCATTTAATGAAAATACACAATGTAATTTAATTCTTATTATCTATTCATTTCATTTTATAAATAATTTATACTTAATTTTGATGTAATATAGCTAATGTGATTGTCATATATAAAGAAAACTTATATTATGCTGTATTATAATCAATCTTTTAAAAAGCAAAATCGAGAATTGAGGCGTTTTGCCTTAATGAGGCGAGGCGTAAGCTTTGAGGCAGATCAAAGCATAAGCCTCATGCCTCAAAATAGAAGAATTAAAAACCCAAAAATTAAATATAATTCATAATATATAATAAACCATAATTTTTAATCTAAAAATAAGATTTATAGTCATTTAAAATTTAATTCATAATTTAATAAATTTAATTGTTGATAGAAGAATATAAATCTAAATTTATAAAGCAATACGAGACAATGATATTTATATATATTAACCAGAAGTTCACGAGAATATCATCGTAAATTATAGCCCGCCTACAAAGAAGAGATGATGGAGAAGCTTGACAGAGAAGCTCGATATCAATGCTTCAGGAACGCTTTGAGAGACAAGATTTAAATGCTCGATTGAGAAATGAAGCCGAAGTAGATGGGCTCAAAATGATACTCAAATGGGCTCAGAATGATATTCGAATGGGATAGGGATGATGTCAAACAGGTTCGGGATAGCGTCAAACGAGAGAAGTGAATGATGTCCTCATCGAACAGACGAAGTGCATGTTTTGCTAATCGATGCTCAAAGCGACGAAGTGCTGCACTCGGGATGACACTCTTGTTTCATTCGCTGTGTCGTTCGTAGATGGTAGGTCTTTTGTTGTGTTGAACGTGGATGGAAAGTATCACATTAGTATAAGAAATGAGCCATGCCTCAGACGTCTTGAGGCGGTTACGCCTTGAAATGTAAGCCTCATTTTAAAAAGGTGTATGCCTCACCTACTGCTCGAGACTTAAGCCTTGATACTATCCTTCGATGCCTCAAGATGAGCACCTTGATCGATATTTTAAACCATGATTATAATTGTTTTGATTGTGCTTTATTAAGTTAAATATAGATTAATCAGTGCTACGGCATGCAATTGCACTCCACTGGATTAAATTTATATTATATCATTGAAATTGCACTTTGTCGTACAAACTTATATTAGGTTGTGTTGTAACTGTTGTGATTGCGAATTTGCAATCTAATGTACCAAAGTTACAAGTTGCTATATTATAGTTGTTGTGATTGCAATTTAATAATGAAAGTTATAGCTTTTCATGTTATGAATTGTACAGATTATATTTAAATCTTATTATAATCATGTTCAAACATTGATTGAATAGGTTAAAATTTATTTGAACAATATTTGAAAATTCTTTCAAACATTGTATTTTATGTTGTCGGAGCATTGTTTGAAGGGTTTAGAACATATAGTTCAAACTTGGTTTAAATCTTATTGTAACAAATTTCATTCTTAATGGACTTCAATAGGCAGCCCGTAAATACAATAGGAATAATTTCATATGAAAAAAACATTCAAGCTATTTCTCCAAGAGAAATTGTAGAGATATTTATGCCAAATATGATTACTATGAGTCATATAAAGTCAATTTTCCAATTATTAACCCCCCTAATAAAGCATAAAATTTTCAATATACGGCTTTGCTGTATATATACATAGACATGATGAAAAACAAGATTTTAATGATTTAATTTGAAGTAAGAAGGGTGAACTTCAGAGATAGAAGCATAGGCTTGCAACTCGACAAACTTGAGGCCCATAACTTCAAAGAACTAGCAATTTTGAAGAGTAAAAAAGGAGATCTTTGAAGCCAGATCTTAGAGCAACAGTTCCATCTAATAAAGAGCTTCACTATTTGTGAGAACATGAACGTGTCATTGTGTGTACAGCACTGGCTCATTCAATTTTCATTAACAGTTAACACCTGCTTAGACTTAATCATAAAATGCTTCATAATAAGCAATAAACCAAGCTGACGAACCTTGCCTTCTTCAATTTTCTCAACTCCATTTGTGCTTCGGAGCCCATGTATCCTATCTCCCACTCGTATTACCCCTGATGATACACGTCCAGTTAAAATTCTGCCAAGATAAAAATCACGCTCCATCATAGAGACCTGCATAAATGAAGAAAGAAGAGAAAAAGAAAGAGAAAATAAAATCCATGACTAGACAAGAAAACGAAAGGACAACTATGCAAGCACATAAAATCAAAACAAACAAGTAATAAATTGCCAAATAAAAAGGTTCATATAAGTAATGAGAAAATTATCTATCTATAAAAGTGTTCAGAAGCAGATCAAAGATGCTTTACAGACCAGGGTATTATATAAATACCAGCTGTAAGGACAACTCTAACGATGCTGGTCAATGCCTTCTTTAATATTTACTAGATAAAAATCAACAAAACTAAAAATTTACAAAACTAAAAATTGAATATGAAATTAACGATATCCAGCAAGAGTTTAGAATTGAAATCAGAAATAAACCTGAACAATGTGTGAAACTAACTTGTAACATGGCTCAATCTTCAAATTGGAACTAAAATTTTGTAAAATCCCTAAAATAGATTGAAGCCGAACTCTTAAACATCGAGGGACATTTTGGTGTAACGGTGGAATTTCATTAGAAACTCCAAACTTAAGTGTGCTTGTCGTGGAGCACTCCCGGGATGGGTCACCTCCTAAGAAGTTACACTAGCGGGGCAAAATCGTGAGGCCTCCAAGCCAAAGCGGGCAATACTTTGATGGATGAGAATTTGGGTCGTCACAAATTTACTATTTCAAATAGAAATCATCATATAAGTAGTACAGCAATCATTAATTTCATATCCCCAAAAAAATGAAAAATATAGATTAAACAAACCATTCTAGACCTTAACGAAAATTTCTAAACAAAAATATCGATGTGAATATTACTATACAAAGCAATATCGTAGGCGTATAATCTCATATATGTGATTATATCAAAAAAGCTACACTGACCAACATTTGGAAAGGAGCATCCAAATTTGCAGAGGGAGAAGGGACATGCTGTATAATGGAATTCAGCAAAGCTGACATATTTCTATTATCATCAGCAGGGGTTTTAGTATATGTCAAAGAAGCCCATCCCTCTTTGGCTGAAGCATAAAGTACGGGAAAATCCAGTTGTTCTTCTGTGAAACCAAACTCAAAAAAGTCATTTCAGAAATTAACTTCAAACAGAAACATCTCTGACATGTCTTCATAAAATACAATAACAAATCATAATTGCACCTGTAGCACCAAGGTTTGCAAAAAGATCAAAAACCAAGCTCTCAACCTCGATGCAAGTCTCCTCAGAAACTGTAGAAAAAAATTAAAAGTTACAAAAGCAATTATCCAAAAGCTGCATTAAGATTATCATGCATTCAACAAATCAGCAGTTTAAATGCAACTAAAAAGAAAGAAAATAGACATAATAATCAACAAACAAGACCAAGTTTAAACACGACGTGCTAGTTTCTTAAGCTAAAATTTACAATTGATTGAACGAGAGAACCAAAAAAACATAAATTCTTCACTAAAAGCGCACAGAAGACTGATTAAAGCAATAAAGATATTCTAGACATTTTTTTTTAACTGTCTGATCTTCATGATTATTTCCAATAAAGGGAAAAACCATTATTCCTTGAAAAACAAGAGAGATAATATAAGATTTTCATTGATGAATCAAAAAACAGTAAAGTCGTCTGATTTCCATTGCATTCATCATTATCATTGGCACAATTCCAAATATTTATCATTAACTCCATGAATTATCCTCTTTAATTTCAGTTTAGTTCTAGATGAGCTATTAATTATATTTCGCATATTTTTAACCAGTTCAATGTTCTCTTTAATCTATTTGTTTTATTTATGATTCTTCGATATCAATTCTATTTAACTTGTTTTATTGATGTGTCATATGCCCTTAATTATACATGCCCAAATCGCCAAGCGTTTTTATCATTACCTTATCTTCAACAAACATAACCTACACCACATCGTAAATATAATTATATCTTCCTATACCCATCCTAATCTAACCACATATGTAGCATTCCAATTACTACCACCATCAGTTTAGTTATAAATATTTCTTAGCTACCCTGAAAAAGAAATCACATAACATAGTCTAAATGCGTTTATGTTAAATTTACCTGTACGACTCTGTAGTGCTATGTTATTGCAATATATTCCTAAGAAATTCCCTTATTTCAAACTATGAAAATATCAATCATCATCACCTTCGCCTCCATTAATATTCTATCGATCCCAGCAATCCTCCACCTTCCTTATTCATATCATACCATCTTAATGATCCATGTGATCGGCACTGTCATCTCATCAATCCATGAACTAGTAGTTATTTTGTACTAATTATTCTGCCTACTTAACAATCTAAAAACTATCGTAATTATTCTTTCCCAATTTTGTACATTTCCTATTAAAAGCTCCTCTAAAATTATATAAATATTACGTAAACTTTGGAATAAATATAACAGATTTTACTTTTTTTTTCTTAGCAATTATATCAGCAGCAGCCTTTATACATACATTGCTTCAAACCTTCATTACTTCAAGTCTCTTTTTGTTGCACCAAATCTTCTCATTGGTAGCCTTCATAAATGGAGCCTTATATCTATCAATGTTTCTCTTTACAACAATTTACTACGGAACTTTTTTTTTTCATGAATCATAAAATACTCATGTTCCCATGTTCTTAGTTTCAAGTGAAACAATAAAGGCAGCCCAAATCCACAGGAGATATTCAAGATATTCATTCAACATATTGTTTGAATGAAAGGAAATATCTTAGTTAATCACAATTGATTTGCACCATCTCGGAAAGAAGAGAAAATTTGGCTCATGTTGTTGGTATCAGGCCTCAACAAAGTGATCCCGCATACCATACTTGAGCTAAACAAGACTTAACGATGATATCTAAATTATAGAACTCCATGGCTTCTAAAATATATGGCATTGGCGTGTTCCTTCATTCAGAAAAAAAATTTAAGAATACAATAATTCATATTTATTTTAAATTATATGATGCAGCGCAAACCTCTGAGATCAAAACTTAAAAACTTGGCCACAAAGCAAGTAACATAATCCATCACACAATACATCAATTTAATATAAGGCCTTTGGTAAAAGATGGATCATTACTAGCACAACCAAATGGAATGAGGTAAAGATGCAGCCTCTTTAAAAGATTTATTGAAGGAGACCTAATAAATGATTTTTTATTCCTTTTTGCGGAATTAAATGTTGAGATTTAAGTTGCAACATTACAAATTCTCAATAAAAAAATATTTACCATCCCTAATGGAAGTCATTACCATCATTCAAAAGGAAGAAAAGAGAATGAGAGTTATGACTGTCAATAACCCCATAGAAGGTTTGACCCCGATAACAAACACTAATGACACCAAACACCATGATTCAAAACTCATTCTTCCAAGGAGCACAAGCAATCACACCCAACAAAGATGGTCCATAGAGACCCTCTATATTGTAAACATTGCAAAAAAGCTCGACACATTAAAATTATGCCAGAAACTTCATGACATGCCATTACAAAAAAACTAGACAACATTAGAAAAATAGCCAAAAAAAATAGACATTCATATGTAAAATAAGAGCAAAAGGTAACACTAAAGAGTTACCAATAGAGTTCTATAAAGAAGAAATAGAAAATTAAAATAATTAATCGGTGTCACTAGAAAAGACTTACAAAAGTAATTGTTATCTTACATTCTACGGTATTATATCATCTTCTAATGCATTTAAAAAGTCTGAGTACCAAATCCTAAAAACTATATTATTGATTCAAAAACTAATCCATAAGGCCAAATCATCACACAAACTTACTTCATATATTATTTATCCTAACAACAAAAAATAATTATTACCTATGGATCATTGATGACCATTGCTAGCCAAGAAGGCATTCTTATCAATAAATATGGTGTGGACTTATGAATCTAGACTGGTTCGGTCCAGGTTTCTTGAGGACCGGACGGCTCTCTAGTTAGCTTGGGAGTGTCGCCCAATTGAAGTGGGGCCCAATTCCTAGTTATCTAGGACTATATATTATTTTTGTCAGTGTTTAGGGTTAGTTGTTGTTGTGATTTGATTTGAGACAGTTTTCGGTGTCTCCTTTTACCTCTACAAGTTGAATCCTAGGCAAGTGGTGCTTCAGTTCTTGGTTTCAAGGTGGTGTTTATCCCTACTATATTGTCTCCCATTCTTTCCTACATTGCTTCCACATTTCCCTCACAGTTTGTTGTCCTCACCTTCCTCTCTGATGCTGCCACCCAGAACTGCCCCAGTCGTAATTGTTCCTATTGTCATCCTAGTGTCCAGACATTTGAATACAATCATCTTGTTGTTTGCTGCTTGCCAATTATCTCCTTCCACCACCTCGAAGATCCAAATTCTACCCGACACCACCTACACACTAGATCCAACCCTTGTTCTCGTGTTGTGTTGAATTTTGCTGCAATTTCATGTTTCCCTATTATTTTTGTAATTTCATATTTTGATTTCAAAAATAATATTTATTTTCTCTTGGCGCTTGTTAAATTTCAATATCATTTAGTATCAAAGCTATCACAACCCTAGTATCATAACCAACAAAATAATAGTCAAACCTTCACCTAAACCTAATTTTCTTTACTGATTTTCAAGATAAGCAAAGCTACTTTTTTTTATGCACCCTAAATCAGCCCCATACACCCTCCTTAACCTCTCAAACCTAAGCCTCGTCATACCACCGAGAAGACAAGTGTCAGAAGCCGGTCGACAACTTACCATGGAAGAGATACTACAAGAAATTAGCCGACTTCAGCAAAGACTTGCTGAAATTGAGGAAGGGTCCCATGAAAAGATTATTGTCGATCATGATAGAGAGCTTTGAAGAGGAGAATGAGAAGAAAATATGAATCCCTTCAAAAGGATGATTCCAGTGAATAAGATGATGGGCCATGATGCTTTCGGATTTAGTATCATAGGTGGCCGACAAATGGATTGACTTTTGGAGAACATACAGATATGGTAGTAAAAGTATAGCTACCAGATTTCGAAGGAAGAATGAATCTGGATAACCTCATTGAATGGTTGCAGACTGTTGAGATGATTTTTTAGTATAAAGAGGTGTCAGCTCATAAGAGAGTTAAACATGCTGCCAAAAAGCTAAAGAAGAGTGTTTCTTCATAGTGGGAGAACATGAAGAGTGACACAAAGAGAAAGTAGAAACAATATCACCACTTGGGAGAAGATGAAGGAGATGCAGGAGAAATATTTACCTCAAGACTATCGCCAGGACATATTCTTGAGGCTACATCACTTACATCAAAGAGAGTTATGAGTAGAGAGTTCATAGCAGAGTTTAAGCAACTCATGCTGAAATGTGAGTTGTGAGAGCCAAAGAAGAACATGATAGTCAGATATGTAGGAGGCTTCAGCCAGCCATCAGCCATATCGTTCAGTTATAGCCTTACTAGTCATTGAGTGATGTTCAAACATTGGCTCTAAAGATTTAGGAACTGCATAAGCAGATCAAGGCCCCGTCGTCATTCAAATATTCACCCATTGAAGGAGGAGCTAGGAGTACACTTGAGGAAGGTGTAAAAACTGTCCAGAAAAATGATAGATTATCACACTAGGAAGAAGCCCAAGAGGAGCATGACACCCAGCAAAGAAGCTACAAGGAAGTGTTTCAGATGTCATGAGTCAGACAAATAGCCTCCAGTTGCCCAAATACCATAGTTGTCTCTTTCATTAAGCAAGGAGCCATAAAAAAAGTGGACAATGGCATTGGATATATAGAAGATAGTGAGGATGTGCAAAAGTGTCAGCTTCCAACTGATAAGGGCGAGCTGCTTGAGGTTCAACGAGTCCTTCAGACTGAGTCTATGAGAGAGAAACAGTGGTTTCACCACAATTTCTTTTTAAAAGTTGCACTGTGAAGGAAAATGTGTACGGTCTTATCATCAATGGAGGCAATTGTAAGAATGTGGTGTCTACAGGTTTGGTGGATAAGTTGAGTCTCACAATTCGGAGATATTCCCAGTCATATTCCCTGACTCGCTTGAAGAAGGGGAATAGGGTTTGCATTGACAAAAGATATCTCGTAAATTATCTATTGGGGATCAGTTACATGACCAGATGTGGTGTAATGTTACACCTATGGAAAATTGTCACATCTTATTAGGGAGACTGTGGCAGTTTGATCATAAGACTTGGCATGATAAATTCAAGAACACTTATTCATCAAAGATGAAAAGTCCATAGTTCTTCTACCTTCTGCGGAGCCCAAA